AGCTGTTCCCAACCAAACCTGTTCCTAATCTACACTGCTAAAACACCAGAGCTTCCCTCTGGCAAACACTTCGAAATAGAGCAGTTCTAGTAAAATGCAATGCAAAAACACCATGTTGCTACAAGATGTAAGTCTCTTACATTTGTCGATAAGCTCGATGAACTCAACACACTCACTCTCAAAGTGTGAGCATGGCCATGATGACACATCGATCGTGATGCGTCTGCCTGATATCGGTCCCGGGTGCTGGAGAAACGCCCGTCTCCAAACCCAGTGGTGACAGTAACCTGCAGCTGGCATTTCTGAGCCCGAGAGAAACCTCAAGGATACTACTGCATTAACAGCTGATGTCTTGAAACCCAGTGTACTAACTAAATGTGCGCTAATTACCATCACTTAGTCCTCCAAAATATGAACCAAGGTATGTCACTCTTCTTTAATAATATTCCAACACCAGCATTTTGGGCAATTTAACTGAAATATTGTAAAAATGTGTAAGAGATTAAAAGGTACATACTGTATTCCAGCATGCATATATAAAGTACAGTTCTTCAGCTAAAGGACTAAATATCAACCAAAAAAGATTGCCTTTCTTCTTCATTGCTCAGCATCCTGATGAGTTTTAAAAGTCCACTATCCTTCAAGACTTCAGCTTCAGTTTGGGTAAAGAATCCCCTTCTCAGGATTCGCCAGCTATAGGATTTTTCAGCACCTCTGATATTGGAAAGATAGCCTCAGACAAAACCTCTTCTGGTTTTAAGTGACTGTTTAAATACAGAAGGTATCAGGGCAAGATGATTAATTCAAGGCTAGAACTGTTCACATTGGGAAAAGTCCCTACACAAATTCACAAGCAGTACAAATCCTTCAGTCAAAATCCCATCGAACTAGGGCATTCATTGTGCTGACCTCAAGCAGAAATAAAACTAATAAGGGAACGATGCTTCCTTTCACCGAGCTATTGTCATCGATAGTTAATTGATGTAATGCAGATCAATAGAGGGGAGGAAACCGAGCCGCTACTGCAGGAAAAGCCCACAGCAGTTAGGCTAACTTTCTGTTTCCACTGCTGGAGGTGCATAATGGAAAGAGCTCATAAACTATCCTTCCATTTTCTGACCGCTTTATTCAATACAGGGACATGGGGTTGCTAGAGTCTATTCCGGCAAGCAACGGACACAAGATGGGATACACCAGTCCATCACAGGGCACACAACCCAGGACCAGTTTGTCTGTTCTTCCCATGTTGACATAGGTTTCCTCTGGGTTACCTGGGTTCTCCGATAACCTGTGAAAACTCAAACTCCACGCAGATAGCCAGAACTCAATTTTGAGAGCGCTTCAAACCTTTACAGCGCTGACAAGTAACATCAAGTCAAAACGCAGAACTGAGCTGTGCCCCATTACTGATCTAGCTGACACTTACAATATCCGTGCCCAGTTTCGTTTTTTGCCTCCTAAAGTCGGTACTTGCCACATCAAAAATGACAGAAAATCGCTGACTCGCACTGACCGCTGGTGAGCTCATTAATGCATGTCAACAGTCTTATTCGAGCCAGAGTCTTTCAGAGACTTCCATAATGGATGTAATAAATGATAGCTTCCTGTTTTCCCACTCTGCTCCACTCATATCTGTTACAGTTTGAGAGCTATTGTTTGCCACAACATACCATCTACATGCATTTATCTGTACTGCACTGTACTCTGGGGTATTACTGAATTACCCCTCCCTCCATATATGCATTAGTAATCACCTCACTACTAGAAACCTATACTTCTCTATTCCTGCAAGGTATTATCCTTATGCTGATATCTCTTTCTGATTTATTGTCATAATGTATGTTTTGTTGGGAGACGGGTACAAGTTTATTCCATGCTGAAAAGAAAAGAGACAACGTTCCACCTGTGGAGCCTTCTTCAGGTCTCAGACGAAGTGTTTTCATTTCAGCATAAAATTAACCTTTACCTGTTCCTTTGTAGCCAACACATCCTGATGCAGCTGCCTACTCGAACTTCATGCATTTTGTTTGTCCACTTATTGCATTGATAGTATGTTGCCCTGTTTTGGGATATCTACAAAGCAAGTAATTAGAATAGCTTAATTCTTCACAAATTATTATTTAGTTTCTACAAGCAGACACATTTGAACCATTAAAATTGTTTCCAATTTTTTTTATGTCCTCACATGCGTTACTCTTCCAACCACAAAATCTACTTTATGGAAGATGCAAAACTTTTTCTGTTTGTATTGTAAGCTTACGGACTCAATCTGACTCTCATCGCTTGACTGTAACAAAACACATCTGAGCTTTAGACCCACGTTAACAAATCATATTTACATACATACAGAGCTCTTAGATGTCGCAAGTCTTAGATTAAATCAATGTTTGAGCCACCGCATAATGACACATTGCAAACAAATCACAATGTGAGAATTTTAAATTAATTTTTAAGTGGGTTTAAAATGCACAAAGCTATGGCTGGCACAACTAAATATTTACTGAGGGCGAAAACAAGGAACTCTTGAACCGATATTAAAAGCAACTCAAAATACTTCTGCCAGCTCCTTAGAATTCAACCGCTTGTAGATTCCAATTTGTATTTATAGGATTAAGTCAGAAGTCTTCCAGATTTTCTAACAAAATTTACAGACACCCTCTAGATCATGGAAGGGGAGTTCTAGTCCTAGAGGGCCTGAGAGTCCCCTGGTCTTCATTCTAAGACTTCAATTACATTCAGAAACTAAGTAGACTGCTTTTTAATCAGTCGTTAACTGAAAAAAGTACTGTATCAAGTCCTCAAAGCCCTGAGTTACCCATTTCCCTGCCCTAGACTGTATAAAACTGTACAGACCTTTTCCCCACAAGACGGAATTCTGTGTTTAAAGAAGCCTGCTCTTCCTCAGGGCTGTTTGGCCAGTTGTATGGGGAAAATAAAAATATTATGAAACTGGGTTGCAGAAAATACAAAGCCACATAAGCCAATCAATTACTTATGTACTTTAAAAAAAAAAACCCAAAGAGTGTCTCCTTCACTCCGCCTGTAAACAAGGTACAAACAATGAGCACGACTGAATTCTGCTGTGGAAGTTTGAACCTGAAACCCCCCTCCTGGGGGAGAGCGAGGGAGTACAGCGCTGGTTACCAAGGGACTGTGGGACGCCACGTACCTCGGAAGATGGCTGCCCCTGCTGCAGCCCTTCCAGCTCGGGCGGCCGCAGCACCTTGTCGATGTCCAGGGAGTCCATGCTGGACGCGGCCGAGGCGACGCTGGAGCGCGAGGAGTTGCTGATGGAGCGCGCGTCGTGGTCGCTCACGGTGCCCGCCGAGCCGGTGCGGCGGTGGTGGTGGTGGTGGTGGTGGGGGTGGTGCTGGTGCGCGGCCGGAGGCGGCAGGCAGAAGGAGGAGGAGGAGAAAGAGGAGGAGGAGGAAGGGGGGGGCGGGCTCTGGCGGGCCGCCTCGTCCATGCTGAGCGAGGCCTGCTCCAGCTGCGCCGTGATGTCGTCCAGGGAGAAGTTGGTGGTCAGCGGCTTGGGCCCGCGCACCGTGGAGGAGGGCGAGACCCTGGCGCTGCTGCTGGCGCTCCTGGCGCTTCCCTGCCGTCCGGCAGGCGGCTTCTGCCGTACCTTCCCTTCCGCGGTGCCAGCCGCCTTGGCCGTGCTATTGGGTTTGGACCCGATAGTGCTCAGTTCCTGCTCGATCGAGCACAGGTCTGCCATGAGGGCATCCAGGTCCACAGCATCTCCTTGATTTAGGGCCTCTGGAAACACACACCAAATCCGTGAACCTTTTCACTAAAATTCAGGCCAGAATTTTGGGGGGTTTTAACCGACGGTAACGGTACGCGTCGACCTCATCTGAAGGCAATCCTGTTGGGAAAAGGGGACTGGGCAGCAGACGTTTGAAAACCCCACAGAAAACGTCACATCCTACTCAAGCTGTCCCCGCTGCTTGCAGAGCCCGACGGGGGGTTCTTAATATTTTGGCGAGTGGGCGTACGAGCATAAGTCCAAATTCCCATTTTTCTTACGGCAACGTTCCCAGATGTGGGACAGCATGGAGTAAGAACGCGTGATTTTGAAGGAGGAGGAAAAGGAGAAAGTGTGAATCGGGATCGTGCTTAACAGGATTCACAGAAAAGTTCAAGGTGTTGACCATACTGATCTTACAGAACAATATAATAATGTCCTTACATTTGTATAGCGCTTTTCTGGACACTCCACTCAGAGCGCTTTACTGGTAATGGGGACTACCCTCCACCACTACCAGTGTGTAGCCCCACCTGAATAATGCGACAAGAGCCGAAGTGTGCCAGTACACTCCCCACACACCAGCTATCAGTGGGGAGAAGAACAGAGTGAGGAAGCCAGTACATAGATGGGGATTATTAGGAGGCCATGATTGGTGGGGGCCAATGGGAAATCTGGTATTGGCACTGGGGATAAACACCATGGGATTTTTAATGACCATAGATGGTCAGAGCCTCGGTTTTACGTCTCATCTGAAGGATGGCGCCTTTTTACAGTAAAGTGTCCCTGTCACTATAGTGGGGCATTAGGACCCACACAGACCGCAGGGTGAGCGCCCCCTACTGGTCCCACTAACACCTCTTCTGGCAGCAACCTTAGCTGTCCCAGGAGGTCTCCCCTCCAGGTACTGACCAGGCTCGCACCTGCTGAGCTTCAGTGGGTTCCCAGGTGTGAGTCGCAGGGTTTTGGAAGAGAAACGACACGGTAGAGATGAGGCGAACAAACTCACCGTTAATGTTGTACATGGAGAAGCGGTAAGAGAAGTTGGCAAGGTTGGCCTCTTGCCGAAGAGGGGACTTCCTCACTTTTTCTGGCTTTCCATCATCCAAACTCTGCCAAGAGAAAACATGAAACACATGTTCCATTTTGCAATGCATTCAGCCACATTCAAGACTCAACAGAGCTCTGGAACAATTAACATGAGACCAAGGATGGTTTTAGTTTTTAATAGGTAATCCTGGGAGGGGGTCTACAACTGCGTCTATCTGTCTGGATCTTTTAGTATCCTGCCAGCACTACTGCTTCTCATACTGCGCTCAAAGCAAGCCTGCACTGTTTTTCTGGGGCATTTCAGTAACTCGCAATGACACAGCCGAGCACATCTGCCAAAACCCAAACAAGCTTCGCCAAGGTGCGGAGCTGTTCAGGAAATGATCAAATGGTCACGCACAAGACTTTGACCATTTCACTCCACTGCTGCAACAATGTGCAGTATGTTAAATCACTACAGAAGTGCGAGATGTCTAGTGTAAATGGGCTGAGAGTGAAACGTGTTGCTCCCTGCTCACTACATGCGACACCCACACAGGATGTACCGTATGATAAAGGTAAAAATAAAAACTTTATTATGGCAAATTGTGATAATGGAATGGTAATACTGTGGAGGCTCATTGACAATTCAACTTTAAAACACCCACGAGTTATACTCCGATCTGATCAGGTAAAAAGAAACAATGGCACTTTATGCACTCAGAGCAGTACGGCAGCACCACAAAACATATTACAGAAACCCTAATTCAGTTCGATATAGATCTCCGTTAATTGGTCTCATCTAACAGAATGGGGTTTCAATAATAACAGTACATTTGTCAAGCTTCTTGGAAAACGAATTAAATCACCACTGCATAGGAGATAAATAGGAGAGGCTAATTTTTTTAAAACCTGTTCATTGCAATTTAAATAGCCACAATTATGTACTTGTACACTTCTTGTAGCTTAACAAAATGTTCACACAAATATGGTGTAAGTAGCACAGATGAATGAGAAAACACTATACTGTACTGTATATCATGGTATTTTTCCATGAGTATATCAATAATGTTGGGGGAAATACTGCATCACAATAAGGTTGCAACACTAGTTGAAAGATGCCTTTAATAATTTATCCATCATTGTTTTTCTCTCATTGATTCCTACAGATTTTCATTTACTTTGGACATTCATGTTCTCAGGCAGCATGAGCTATGTAACCAACACTTCTTCTCCAGGCTGGAAACAGATTGAAAACAGTTCGCAGAATTGAGAAAGAAGTACCAGAGTATAGCTGCTCGACTAGCACATTAACATGCAGTTTCAAACCAAAACAACTCAGTGTGACTATTCTCCGAGACCATAGTTGCAAAAACTATTGGTTATAGCAAAAATATTGGTTATAGCCTCAATATAATATCTCAGTTAGAGATTATTAGTAGGAAGCGAAGAATGTTAATGACGGTTAACATCATGGAGCCTGATTTGGGGAAAAAAAGCATGATAAATAAGGTGCTTTCTGAAAGCAGCATTGATCAAATGATGAATTTTGAAACAGCACATTGACTAATTCCTGCTGCGTTTTTAATAGGATCGCATTGAAAAAGCAGAACAGTTCAGACAAGCCAGCTCCATAGGTATTATTGTTCCATGTCTCATGCGTAGCTGATAATTCATCTCTGCATATAAACTAGAAGACAGTCCTGAGAACTATAATTATTATCTTCTTTGCTATAATTATAGCTGGTAATATAACTGTCATAGCACTATCTAGACTCCTCGCAAACATTCACAAATCTAGTCACCTTATGAATTGCATTTGCCAGCTGGGTTAAATGATGTTCAAACACATCTAGCAAATTTGTTGGCAACAACGCGATTTGGAGAGGGTCCTTCTGCGCTTAGGAGGGGATTTCCACAATTATCTAAAGATTCTCTTCCGTAGTCGTGGGAAGAAAGATGACAAATGAAAATGTAACGAGCAATCTCCCCTCCTCGTTCCAATTCCGCTAAACGTCTTCCAAGTAAAATGTTTTCTCAAGGGAGAGTTCAGAAAAGGCCTGAACAACTGGACAAGTTACTGTATGGTTTCGGGTCACAGAGAAGAGGAAACGGACTACTCCAACTGAATTTCTAGAGGGTTGCTTTTAAACAGAAATAATGTACTGTTTAGATCACCTCCAACCAAGCGAAATTCATGCACACTTATCTTTTATAACAACAAAGCATTTTGTTTCATTAGAGTGCAGTATAATGCATTTGCCAAACCCACATTCATGGTTTTCACTGTCTTTTGCTCCTACTGATCCTCAGTATGTAACCAAGTCATTCATTAATCAAACTATTACTTGGTTAAATTGAATCTTTTTTTTAATACGGCTGTCAATGGTTTTGGAATCACTGCACTGAAAAGTGGCGCGTCGCTGACCTGTGTTAGTTTGTCCAGCTCGCCGAGCCACGCTCCAAACATCTTGTCCAAGTCCTGGTCTTCTTTGTCACTGTCTTCCTCCGCAGCATGATCCAGCTCCTCATCTGACAGCTGCTCCATCTGCAACACAAGCACACAAATCATCACCACGGCAACCCGCCACAGAATGAGAAACTGAGGCCTCGGCCTACTCTTTACCATTTGCGCCCTGGATGAGCAAACTGGGCTTCAGCTTTCCTTTCTCCAGCTTATGTTTTAGGCACAGATCGCTTGACTACCCGTCAAGAACTCCTTCACAAAATGACTTGGAACACCTTTGCATACATGACAAGCTCCAGCAATTAAAAACTTTTATTTCACCCTGGACGATCAATCATCATAATTAAGCAAACAGATTTCAAACAAAAGGAAACATGTGAGAGGTATGTCTAAACAACCAGTATTTCTTGTAAATGACCAAGAATGAACTACATATACATATACATATACACACACCGTGTTACACATCTAGCAGAATGCCAATAACATATGCTTATTTTATTTATTACCAGATCTGAACAACTGTATGTGAAATCTTCCACCTGCATTTAGCTTTTAAGCTAAAATGGTATCTTCCCGAAGTTACACTGAGGGTAAATTGTGCAGTGACTGGCAATGGGTTTCCAGGGGATGTGCCTTGGTCTTTAGAAATCAACAACAACAGAAAAGCCATTTCACATGCTAATAAGAATGAATAAGGATGAAGCAGTGATTAAAAAGGTTCTCACTTCCTACCTCTTATTTACTGAAAGTGAGAGTATCACTACTGGATCCCTCCCCAGTTTTCCACCAAGAGCAGTTAGGGGTCAGCATTTCTGTGTCACCTCAGGCTGCTCCAATGCATTCCTTAATTGGTCAGAAACTGCATGTCTATAGCATATGGGCTTTTAGCACAGTACTTCACAGAGTATAAATGTTACTGAAAAACTGTTTAAATTACAATAACTGCAGAAACTCTATGACAGTCTTACAAATAATTACAAAATGAAATTAGATATGTCAGCACAACCCTTGAGGTCATTTGAAGCTAGACAATCTGTCCGGTTTGAGTAATTCACAAGCTAGATCAGAAAGGCAGATCTCTCTGGTCTAGGAGGAGATAATCTTTCATAGGGCAGCGGCATGTTTTAAATAGCCAGGTTCTAAAGTAACAAAGGAACATTATCTTTTCATCCAGTGCACAAATGTGCTCAGCAGTTTAGAGATGGGATTAAAACATTCAAGGAGGGAATACTTCCTTAAATAAGCCTTTTTAGAAAGTTGGGTTAGTCCACTACTTCGGTGTAAGGTACAATATTTAGGACAGAGCATGTTAGTAGAGCTTGTGTTGCCACAGTGTTATTGCCAGGAATAAATTAAATGCTCAGTCTCACACATTTGAGCTCAGTGAACAGCAGGTACAGCAGTACACGCCTTGTCTGTCCACACATGAACAAAAGGCTAATTTTTTTTGTTTTGCTGACATGAACACTGAAACTGCTGGCCCTGATAAGGTCAGGTCCCCAGCACTATATAAAAGAGAAGGCCATTAACAAGACCTACAGCGAACACAACCTTTTACCTTTGGCAGAAACGCTAATGTCTCCACAGCATTTTTTTAAAAGACCATTTTTGAAACTCTACATAATTTCCTTAAGGCTTATGTAGTTACAAATCCCACAAAATCAAGCCATCTCCCCCTACCCTGCAGGAGTTAGAACTCCAGCAGTTCTAACTGAAAAATCAGTCTCTGAAGGATGTACAGTAGGCTGTTTGCCTCACAGAGTATGGGATACAATTGGCGAGGAGTGAATAAAGAAAAAAAAATGTTTAACAAACGAAAATTTGAGCATCCATTACTATTTTTTTCATCATCGGCTTAACTTAATTCTTTCGAGGCAACCATTTTTAAATAAGGTGGCTAACCTTGGGCCACATGTCAAACTGGTTTGACAATGAGTTGATTCAGACTTCGGGGAAAAATTGAATTTTGACCCATTAAGCAGGCAATTGGGTGTGTAACTGAGAACATATCTGAAAAGAAAACCTGAAAACCCTGCGACACCTGAGAAAACTGCTGCACCTTTCACAAACGATGATCTAAGGGTTGATCTTTAGGGCTGTGTCTGTTCAGGCCCACAGACAGACACCTGTGGACACCAAGATTTCTTTGGGATACAATTTGACAATTGTTTATTGCGAAACACTGTTGCCAACACAAAAAAAAAGATAAAACCAGTCTTATTTCTCGAACACTGTCCCAAAACCTCCATATAAATGCATAAACTCCAGGTCTTCTCAAACACTAGCACATATTAACACCACACGAGAGAGACAGTCTAACAAGATTTGAAGTTATTGCGAATGACTGACAACCCCGTTTGAGACCTCTGACCCCTCTATGAGATTTTCAACAAAGCTAACTCCAATAAAAGCCATGCCTGGGAGGATGAGAAGAGCACCGTCGCTACTGTATCAATCCTTATCACAAGAGACTGCCACTGAGCACCACTTACATTTCAACACATCAAAAAATCTTCAAGCTCTAAGTGGATTGTCTAGGTTTCGGTTTCTTCTTTCAAAAAAGGGCTGCTAAATCATTACGCTGCAGGCTGCAGTCTTATGGGTCTGTCTCTGTATTGTGCGGACTTGAGATAATCCTGTCAGAAGCCCTTTTGTTACTAAATAAGCAGGGCAGGATGTCAGATGAATACTAAATGAGTGTAAGTGTGGGTTGTTTTTAAAAGTGCACCTGTTAGTGCAAAAAGGTCACCAAGATGACATTTATGGCTATCATAACTGGCAAGGAAAAATAAACACCAGAATATTAATACCAAAGCATGAATGGTAACCTTTTTAATCATTTCAGAGGGAACAATTGGATTTTTTACAGTGTTTAAATGTTAACAATGCACACAGAAAAACTAGAGTTTTGACAAGGATTAATTTGAATTCTGTTATCCGTTTTAAAAAAGGTAATGCTTCTTTGGCAAAATATTTATATTTATTTTTGTTTTTCTTTATTTATAAAAGGGGATAGATACATAAAACATTTAGCTACCTGTATCTTCGTTAATATTTTCTGAAGTTTATAAATTTGATGTTTTTTGGAACCTCAAAATTGATATAGATATAAATATTGGTATAGATATAAAAACAGCAAAATTTGTCTACACAGAAATGCCACTTAATTTCCTTTAAAAAAAACTTAAAATTGGATCTTAATAGGCCATGGAGTGAGTCCAGGTTAGCTATTATTAAATATTTCTACAGTACCTGTATTCTAAGATTGTGTTCCATAATATAAATCTCATTCAGATGTCGGTGACTCTTTAATAATTATTTTCCTCTGAAGAATTCCTTGCACATTTTGGCATAGGGAAGTGCTGTAATTCTTGAGAATCTATTTTCAAGACAATTTAATTAATTTACACCACAGTGAAAAACACATCATTTACACCTGGCTGTAGCACAAAATGGATAGCTGTACCAATCTTCTGTTCTCCAAGAGCAAAATCAGGCAATATCTGTCAGTCTTCATGATATACGTACTAAAAGGTAGGACCAAAACACCCAGAATTAGAGAAAAGACAAGTCATTATAATAGTCATTCTACTTTCCCCCCTATTTCCAGGACTGCTTTGTAGAAAAAAAGTGAAAAAAGCCAATACTCATTTGCAGATTTGTTTTAAGATTTTGTTAATTATTACGGTGACAAAGGTTTGTAAAGACAAGCCAATTAACCAGAAAAAAGTGCTACACTACATACAAACTTGAGAAACTAAACCTGTTTTTCCAGATATACTGTAGTTGAGCTTGTTCTTTTCTGCTTTGCCCTGCATTTCAGAAGTTAACTTACCTTTGTATTTTTGTATTTTAACTTACCTCGTATGTATTGCCCAGCAAAAAACAAAAAATATTGAATCATTCAAGGCCCTACATGAAATGATTATACAATTCCTACATTTTTGACTACAGAATGTTTAGCATATGCAATACATGTACTGTATTACTCTTGAGCTTGCAGCAAAAAATTGGCTCTGTTGTTTAATATTCTGCAATGGATTAGTGCCCTCTGCTGACAAATAACACAGCCTCCCCATATGCTAATGTTTAGAGATGCAGTCTAATATACAAAAGCGAGAACTTGTCAGTTCTGACAGGTTCACCATCTTCAAAAGCTTAATATATATTTTTATCATATACATGCAGTACCTCTTGGGCACTCACTTCTTTTTTAAAAACTGCATTAATTACTGTACAGTGACTGAATGTTTTAATGATTATTTATGAAATGGAAAATATTTCCACAATCGCCCCTGCAACGTGCACATGGGACTTATGTTTTTGCAGCTCTTGATTCTTTTAAATTCTTCTGCTGTAGCTTGATTGCTTGTCATTAAATATGCATCAGATGTCTGATCACTCTCCAACTCAAACCTCTGACAATAGTCTGAAAAAGAGCACGCTTACACTTTAAGAAAAGCACTGTGGCCACATGAATGGGATTTCTGACTCATAACACTGAATTATCTTTAATCATGAACAGACTGTAGATTTTGTTTTGTAATCAAATGCAGAAAAATAACTCCAAATTCTCCCAACATAGGGAAATTAACTTTTTGGTCTCCAGTTTAGTGATTTAAGATCTCTTGAATTGCTTCAGTCCATGAACACCCATTCCAGGACAGTAGTTGTGTAAGCAGCCTGCCTGACAGTGATCTCCAGGAGACTGATCAAAATGAGTTTCTCTGTGACTAGTTTCTTTGTGGACTTTGATGTTCATCTCTTCACAATTCTGATTTTCAGAATGCTGATCTTCTCTAATACTTAACAGTACTAGTACTGTATGTCTCTCATCTGTGCTGAAATTTTTTACTTTACTGTCCGTTTTCTTAAATCCAGCCTTCTAAATTTAAATTACTGCAAGTCTCCAGCTTTCTGTAATTTCAGTTTTGTTAAGAGGTAGGCATAGGCTTATTCACAGTTTCTTTTTTCCCCATCTGGAAATGGACCATTTTCACAGAAATAGGTGATCCTTAGACACACTGACTCCATCTTGCTTTCGCTTTCCATTGAAATATTTGTATCCTAACTGGCAA